GAGAAATGGCTGGCGCACTAAGGGCACGGGGCACGGGGTGGGGGGTGCAGAGCAGGGTGCAAAGGCCGGCCGGCCTACTAGCAGCTGCATCCGAAGGGGCTTCCCCCTGCCAAGTCTTTTGGGGCCACTGGTGACACAGGATTCATCTTCCCCTCCCCACTCGGCTTTTGCCCCCACCCCCAGACTCTTACTGCGAGACCCTGCCGGTGGATGGGCCCCCTTCCTTCCGTGGGCAGGCGGTCAAGTACGTGTACAAACTGACCATCGGCTGCCAGCGCGTCAACTCCCCGATCAAGCTCCTTCGGTTGCCCTTCCGAGTGCTTGTGCTGCATGGTAAGGACTCCCCCCCCCTCCATGTCTCCATCACCTCCTTCTCCTCCCGGGGGGACAGCCAGGGGCCTCGGCTGCACATCTGTCTGCCCCCCTCCTCTCTTTCCAGGGCTCAGGGACCACCCCTTTCCCCAGGATGAGGCCGTGGCCCCCTCCAACCCTTTCCTGGAGGACGAGGACGGAGGCAGGAAGAAGGACTCCCGGCTGGCCGACTTCGCCACAGAGCTCCTGATGGCGGCCACTTCCCGACGGAGCCTACGTGAGTCCTGACCGCCACCCCCCTGGCCCCTCTGAATGGCCCCGGCCAGAAGGGGGGGGGCAACTGGACCCCTGGCCCTGCCGGCTCACTCACACACAGTCCCTGTCGTAAATGCAGCAGGTGGGGGGGGGTGTGCTTTCTTGTCGGCCGAGAGGTCCTGGGTGGGGGTGGGGCTACAGTGCCCTCCCTCCTTGCCCTGCTTCTGCCACCGCCCCTTGGGTTGGCGCTGGGGATTCTCACTCAGCCAGGTTGCCGAGAGGTCCAGAACGAGGAGGGTCTCTTTGCGGCCCCTGTCGGTCCTGTGGAGGGCCGTCCCAAGAGCCCCCCCCCCGGGAGCAGAGAAGGCGCCTCTCGGCCCTGCCAGGCAGGAGGACTGAACGCGGGCCGTGGGAGCCCAAACGTGGCTGCTCTTCCACTCTCTCTGCTGCCACAGCAAGGGAGCCGTGGCTTGCCCGTCTTGCGGGCCATCGAGTCGTAGAAACCCTAAGAGGAGGGAAGGGGCGGCCGCTCTGTGAGCGCGTCACCCAGCGCTCTGTCCTCAGCAGCCCTGCTCAGCTCTGAGCAGCTCAAGGCCGTGGCTTCCTCGAGGGAGTGTACCTGCCCCACGATATTTGGTCTTCCTCTTCTCGGCTCCCTTCCCCTTTTCCTTGTGCTGTTGCTCCTTCCGGCGAGCCGTGTCTTCTTGGAGGGCTTGCAACCAGTTGGGAGACCGGATTCCTTTCTGCCTCTTTGCAAAGCTGTCTAAGCTTCTGGCTGTCCCTAGACCCTCAAGGTGGCCCCCGTGGCGGTAGCTGAGGCCAACGTGGGGATGCAGGCCAGAGGAAGTGCCTGTTCCCCCCCCCCACACCTCCAGCCCTCTGCCCTGCTTGGGTCTGCCAGCCAACCGCCCACGGGCCCTGCTTGGAATGTGGACCTCCTGGGGATGCCCTCCTGGGGATGCCCCCCGGCCAGTTCGGGGGGCCCTGGGCCAGGCGAGGCAGGCCTGTCCCCCTGCCTGGACAGTCCCGCTGAGGCCACCTCTTGGCTCACAGACCTCTACAACATCAGCAACTCCGGGGGCAAAGTGGGCAGCTTCTGCATCTTCAAGACGGTTTACAAGATTGGAGAGGACGTGATTGGCACCTTCAACTTCTCTGAGGGAGATGTCCCTTGCCTGCAGGTGAGGAAAGCTCCGGGGTCCCTCCCTATCGGAGGAGGAAGAGGAGGAGCCTGTGCTGGGGCAGGGCAGGGTGGGTGGCCTGTGCTGGGGCGGTGCCCCCCAGCCCCCCACGCCCAGCGTTGACTGCTCTCCTTGCCCAGTACCTGGTGAGTCTGCAGACGGAGGAGAGAGTGCAGGAGGCCTTCCAGCGCCAGCGCGGGCAGCCGGTCTCCTACAGCACCCACGCCCGCCACCAGGAGGCTTGCCTGCACACCGCCAGGACGAGCTTCAGCTTGCCCATCCCCTTGAACTCCGCCCCGGGTTTCAGCACCAACATCGGTGAGTCCTGCCGCTCCCCCCGCCCTCCCCAACCTGCCTTTTGGAAGCAGCTCAAGAGGCCCCTCTGGACCCTCCACCCAGAGCCTTTCTCAGAAGGAAAAGGGACCAGGTTTCTCAACGGGGCCTGGGAATTCCCTGTGGGACTGAAGAGGACCCGGGTGGGCTGGGGGTGGAGGTGGGGGAGCCCGCATTTCGCTGCCTCGCTGGCAGGTGAACCCTCTTTTCAGGCCTTTGCCAGCGGGGTGGGTGGGTGAGTGCAAGACGTCCTCCTCTCCTCCCCTCCCCTCTTGTCTCTCCAGTGTCCCTCAAGTGGAGGCTGCACTTTGAGTTTGTGACCTCCCGAGCCGCAGGGAAGACACGGTCCGTGGCTGCGGCCTCCTCCTCCTCCGAGGGCCCGTCGGAGGCCACCCTCTGGGCGGGGGTGGAGCAGATGGAGGTGGACACCCTCAGCTGGGACCTGCCCATCCAGGTGCTGCCCACAAACCCCCTCTTGGCCTCCTACGTCTCCCAGTTCTCCAGCACCAACTCGCTCACCATCTGAGGGCCGGAGGAAGGCTGAGGGCCCGGCTCCAGCAACTTGCTCTTGACTCTCTCTCTCTCTCTTTCTCTCTGGGGCGGAGGAGGGGGTGCCCTCCCGCTCCTTGCCATGGCCCCAGAGCGGCCGCCCGTGGGCTGAAAGGGGCCTGTTGGAAGCCCCACGGCTGACTGAGCCTGGCAGGATCCTGCAGGAGGGGACCCTCGCCTTCAGAGTGTGGATTTCTCCCGTGGAGAAGGTGGCCTTGCGGGTCCCCCAAATAGGCCTCTGCCTGCGTTCCCCACCAGCAAGGGGGCAGAAGGGTGTCCCTGGTTGGGGTGGGAGGGGCACACGCTGTGTTTCCTGCCTCTGTCTGTCCAATAAAAGGATGCTCGACCGGCACAGCCTCCCTCTTCCCCCTCCCCCCCCCCGGTCTTCTCCTTGTGCAGGTGGCTTCGGGTACAAGCCTTCCGCTTCTGCTGTTTTCTCTTCCGTCTAGCTGGGCTTCCCTGGACCCACCTGGGAAGCTGGGGTGAGGTGGGGTAGAAGGGTCTTTCTGGCCCATGGGGTCCCCCCCATCTGCCCCCCCCCAAACGAAACACACACGGTGGCTTTTCTGCTGGCTGGTTTATTGCAAGGACAGGAATAACTCTACCGCAGAAGAAGAGTCTAGGCACAGCCTATGCCAGGAGAGAGTTGAAGGGGTGGGGGCTGCTTTTGTCCTGCCTCCCCCCGCCCCCACCTGCACACTCCGAATCCAGTGGTCTTGACCCTTGGGGGCAGTGGTTCTGATGCTGTTCCTTCTTGCAGGGGGCAGGGGGGGAAGCCTCTAGTGGTTGCAGGTTCCCCCAAGGCTCAGAGTCTTAGGGATGGGGTTGCCCACCTAACGGGGAAACTGAGGGGGGGGAGGGGGAGGCCATGAGCAGCAAGGGAGGAGAGGCTGTCCTGGGAGTGGGAATGGGAAGGGAGGGCTTGAAGGGGGGGGCTGCCTTCCAACCCCAGGAGGTGTTTGCTTGTGCTACAGCCAGGACCCAGCCTGTATGCCAGGGGTGGGCAAATCCGGCATGGTCTCGTGGCAGTGTGTTCCCTAGCGCCAGGTAGAACAGCGGGCAGGGGCCTTCCTGGCTTGAGGCATGAATAAAATGCACACACACTGCATGGCGTGGAAGGACCCGGCTTCCTGGAGGCCTCGTCGAGGGGTTTTTGGCAGGACAGAGAACAAGCGCCCACCCAAGGAAGGGAACGCTGCAAGCAGAGGCTGGGCTGGCAGTAGGAAGAGCAGAGTTCTTCTTGCTAGGCAGCTGCGGGATATGGGTCTCCTTGAAGGGGGGGGGGTTGGAGAGGGTGGATGGCGGCAGCCCCCCCTCCCTTTCTCTCTGGTAGTTGCAGGTGGGGAGCCAAGCAGGGTCTTCCTCCGTGGCGTTCTACCTGCCCAGGGGTGGCATTTCGGGCGCCGGGTGGCTGGGCGGCTGCTCTGGTGCGCGGCCGGAGCCCCAGCCGTGCTGGAGATTGTTCACGCAAGGCAGGCTTGGGTGGGCCTTCTGCACCAGCGAGAGCTCGCAGGCCTGGGCGTCGTAGCGCACTTCACACCACTCTGGGAAGTCCAGAGGCAGCTGCATCCTGCAGGGGGGGAGCGGGCAGTGAGCTCCACATCTCTGGACCTTCCCACCCCCCCAACGCGCCCCCCCCCGGCAAGTGTGGGCACCCGAGGGGTGGTTCTGTCCGAGGATCTCTGGGAGGCTCCCTCTCACGCAATCGCAGGCAAAGTCGATTCTCAGTCCTGGCAAAGGGACTCTGTGGCCACAAGAGCCACCCAAGATGATCCCGGATGTTGTGAGTTGCGTGTCTTAACTGAAAAGAGCAGCACCCCCCCTCCCCCCCCCGGAGGCCACCTGCATGCAGGAGGCTGCCCACCTGCCTTGTAATGGCAGGCCAGAATACCTGGGAAAGGAAGCGGTTCTTTTCCTCTCTAGCGTGACGCTAAGGAGCAACTAGTGGCACGTACCCTGGCCAGGTTGCGGCGGCTCCTCCTGCGTGGGGCCCTTTCCCTGGAGACCCCCCCCAAAGGGCCCCTTCTCCCACAGTGCTTTCCGGAGCAGTTCCTGGCACCGGGGGGGGGCAGAGGCAGGACATGGGCACTGACTGGGGGAGCTGAATTATG